ATTTTTTGAAATGCTTTGTAAATCTTCCACAAAAAGCAAAATCAGAAATTTTGTCAAATTAGCTCGTAATAATTTTGTTCGTAATTGAAGAAACAATTGGCTAACCAGAGGTGAAGCTCACGGATTTGAGCCTGCCTCCAATTGTACATATGATTTGATATCATAAAAAGCTGCTACTTGAATTAAAAGACACAATTTTAGTCCCGAGGGATTCCTCTTATTTTATTTAATATAAATGTACAAAAGATAAATATGTGAATATGTGTTAGGTTTGTGATCCATATTCGGTTTTTTATGCATTTTCACCTCGTTTTCATCTCTAGAGCTACTTCTAGGATTTGGCATGCACGCCTATAAATAGCAGGTTTATTGTCATCATTCATTTATAAAAATTTTATGCATAAAGACTTAAAATGATGATAAACAACAGCCCGCACCTAAGAGACGCATTTCTTTGTTCTACTTGTGATCTATTTCATAATTTTACTTCGTTTGACAAACTTTAAAACGATCAACTAAAAACACCTTTATCGAGCAACAAGTTTGTAAAAGCGGAGCACTCAAATGATGTATACGATATAAATTATTAGCCCAGTCTGGGCTCCATTTTACCGAGAAAATGAATTTTGGAATAGTAAAAAGTTGAAGAATGTGATTGAAAAATTCTGAATATTTGCGTGTAATATTATTTTATAAAAAAATATGTGATTAAAATTGAATGTTGAAAAAATGAATTTTGAGAATAATGAGACTGGCATAACTCTATACACATGCGTGAGATACGGGAGCACGAGTAGATACTTCCTTGGAACTTTGGATCTGGTGCTAAACCAGGTAGATTTCATTGGAACCACCCCCCATCACCCATCTTTATTATTTTTTTGTTGCCTCCATTTCATCCCATTCAGGATAGGATTTGGAGAGGACGTATGATTGATTCAATAAACTACTAAACTTTATCAAATTTGTATTGTAGTATCTTTATTCACGCATGAAAACCCTATAATAACATAATTAACCAAAATACCCTTAAACTAATAGAATAAAATAAGTTTATTAATGCTAAAGAAAATAGAAAATAAATGACTAGAGAGAAAAAAAGTTCTAAGTCGTAGAGTGTATGTACCTTGCAAATTACCTTTTTGTGAGCACATTCTAGGTCGTAAAAACGTTATTGTAACTCCTGAGCTTCATCAACATCGTTCAAGAAGTTAAGCCGTTAAAGATAGAATGAATAATTAATTTAAATTACATCTCCAACAATTCTAAGCTTTGGTGAAAAGACTTCTCTTTGTGGGCTAGGACGATTCCTTACAAAATATACAGGTGACATCATTCCATGCATGTATAGACTTGGCTTTATGCAATAGAAGCATAAAGATGGAAAAGCATAACAACTGATAGAAAATTAGTGGCAATGCATGAATAGTTAATTTTCTTTTGAATTAGTACACATTAGAAAGTGATTGAAGTATTGAGATAAAGACAGATCCCATTTGGTTTTGGCCCAGGGCCACCATGGGTCAATGTATGCCATCGGTTCACCCCACCCCACCCCACCCCACCCCCATATATCTATATTATATTTTCACAGATAAAGTAGAGTGGGCCGGGCCGGGCCGGGCCCAAAAGGGAATAATGGAAGTTGCCTTCATCTTCTCTGTACTGGGTTCCACCAATTTCATACATGCTATCGTTGGTATCACTGCTCTCAACTGATGTAGGGTTTGAATTTTAATGAATTCATTTCATTATTCAACTAAGCCATGATAAGAGTGGGTTATGTCAAAGTCCCTTACTTGCAACAGAGAAATGACCAACAAGGCACTATTACTTTGCATTTTCAACAAATAAAAGATTGATTCAAGGAAATTAGGGCAAGAATATATTTGTGAGATGTGACAATTTTCAAAAAATTTCATTTATTTATCCCACTTGTTATGTAGTTATTGCATATTTGACAACTTCGGTCAAATCAATAAATTTATCGTACTTAGGATGAAACAAAATCAAATTGCGGCTGTTAAGATATATATAATCCCTGTTTGGTGGAGATTAAAATTAATTTTTTAGTAAATTTTGATTAAAAAATTTTTTGAAATGTACGGTTAAAAAGTTGTGAGACCCATAAAACTACGTGATTAATATTGATTATTTAACTTTAATTTAAATTAAAATCTAATTTAAATCAATACCAATTACCAAAAAAGGGCATAATATCTTATTTTGAAAACTAGGTAATGTCATTAACCTAGCTAACATAGATATTTTGCTACTTTGGTCGTTTTAGTGGCTATAACAAGACATCACATATCATTTTATTACCGACAAACCTACCAAATTTGACTTATTATCTCTATTACGGGAAACGCGACACTGTTAATCATATGATATAAACTCTCAACCCTATACTTATTATTCCTTTACCTATAAAGTAGGTTATTATATTCTTATACTTGAACCGTAGCATCTAAGAACGTAAATACGATAATCGAAACGCTCAATCCTATATTTAGCCCCTGTTTGAGAATGATTAAAATCTTAAGTCTGGATCAATAATTAATTTTAATCATATATTTCATGAAATTCACAACTTTTCAACTACACATTTTATCACTTTTAGTAGCAAAACGCTGTTATTTTATTTATACAATCAATCCATGATAATTCCGCGTTAGCCCAATAAAATTTGACTAAGAAAGAACATTGTGGTATGAAAATGATATAAAATCTCCCGTGGATTATGTTGTCGCCTGAAAAGGATTGTGTAGACTATATACACCTTGAGGTACTCTAATATTATCCTATAATACCCTATTTTTAGTTATTTTTTCCAGCAATATTTTAAGGAAAAGTTGGGGCTTTAATTAAAAAGTTGGTTTAATTTATTTAATAGGAAACATTGCAAAAACGGTCCCTAAACTTTTCAATTTTTGTAAACTTTACCCTAACCTTCAATTTATACCAGCAAAGGTCTCTAACCTTTTATAAATATGTAGTTGAGGTCCAAATGGATGAAAACCGTCAATTTGATAGTTAATTGACCAATATTTTGCAAAAAAAATGATATTTTTATCATTTTAAGCAGGGATATTTTCATCAATTCTATGACAAAATTATACTTTTGAATATATATATATATATATCAAACCAAAACGTTATCTTCTTCACCTCACCCCACCGCAAAAATTGAACCTAAAAAAATCACCACCGCTGGACGTCAATTTCCCTCTACTAACCATCCATCGAATTCTCTAATAACCCAACCCATCATTAAACATTTCAAAAACCAGAAAATCCAACCCATCTCTATCTTTAGATTTGAGGATGTTCCACCATGAATATGCTGGCCCAGACTTGGCAAGACTATCGGCAGTGAGGCGCGACCATGGGTGTGATTGTCGGTGGCAATTTGTGCATTGAGGCCATCGGCTAGGGAAGAAGTTCCGAGGAATTAGGTGGCCGATGGTTTTTTTGGATTGAGTGGCCGCCGACTTGTGTTGATTTTGATCTTCTGTGATTTTTTATTAAATCTTTTTTTGATTTTCTCTAGATATTCGACGATCCTTTCTAGAACCTGGTTTTCAAATGTTTTCTAATTTTGATGTTCGATGGTTTTTCTTTCCATCGTGTTTTTGGTTCTTCCTCTTCATAATGGAAAAGCTGGGTTTGATGATTTGATGGTGATTGTTTTGGTTTGATGATGGAGGTGGCAATTTAAGGTTCACAGTGGTGGCGACCGACCGACGGTGGTGAGCTTTCTGAGTTTGGTTTTGGGTTGGGGTAAGGGTGGATGAGGTGAAGAAGATAACCCTTTGATTTGAATTTTTTTTTAATTTAATTATCCATTATTATATAATTGTGTTTATATTGCAAAATATATTGTTGTCATGGAATTGATGAAAACGTCCATACTTAAAATGATCAAAAAATGAATTTTTTTGCAAAATATTGATCAACTAACTGTCAAATGGACGATTTCCATCATTTGGACATCAGTTGCATATTTATGAAAAGATAGGGATCTTTGCTGGCACAAATCAAAGGTTAGTGTAAAATCTACAAAAATTAAAAAAGTTATGGACCGTTGTTACAATTTTCCTTATTTAATATTTATTCTATTTTTGGTAAGACTAACAAGCTCTTAATATCTGCACAATCTTTAGCTAAGGTAGTTATACTGATTATGTCGCTCACGCGATCCATATCACGTAACAGACACAATCTACATGGTAAATCGATTACAATAGGTGCTCGAAACGTTTTTCTTAAGAGCGTGAAATTATGACACTTATTTTCTAGTATTTCTCTAAGGTACCAAACATCCCCATTTTTATGTTATATTTATGATTCGATTAGTCTCAACGGATCCTACAATGACATGCAAAGGTAAATGACCTGAATAGGCTTGAAGTATTTAATTTCTTTGGCTTAGATATGAAATAAAATATGTGAATTTAACTTTACCTTTAATTAATATCAAATAAATTTTGAAAAAAATGAAGATCAAACAAGTACGGTATTTTCGAGAAATAAGTAAAAAAATTCAAAAAATTCAATAATGAATTTGAGAAAGCTCAATAAGGACTTGAATGCGGCTACTAAAACATGCTCACGTGGCTAGTCATGTCAAAATGGCCCCATCCAACATGGAATCTGGTTATGGTTACATCCGATGGCTCTTTGCCCCAGGTTCCCTCCCTTTCATTTATCTTCCTATTTATTCCACAGGTTCGTGACCCGATTCCGACAGTCATTGGCAGACCCGAACCGGCCAGTTTTTTCTCCATTTATATATACCCCTACAATTCCTCCATTTACATATTTCTCTAGGTTGCATGTTGGTTTGAGAGGACCCAAGTTTAGGCCACTAGAAGTGCAGAAAGCTACCTAATCTTGTTAGTACAAAACTACCTAGCTATCACTTTTGTTAAAGCATATTTTTCACTTATTTGAAGTGGTTTGAACTTTTGATCACTCTTTTGAAAAAGACTTTGCTAATGAATAGAGGAGCTTTACCGGAGATGATACACTGCCTCACCATTCCGGCTAATATCGCCGGAAATAATGGTCGTGCTGGTATTGCAATGAGAGTGCTCGAGAGACAACAGCAATCAGGTACTCATCTGAATGAGGATTATCAGTTGAGAATGTTTTCTGTACCTTCTGTTGAAGATCAACAGTTTCAAGGTTTGGTTGAGAGTGATCAAGGCATTGGACAACTCGTGGCTCAGGCAATGAAACCGGACCCTGGTGTAGAAGATGGAAGGAATAATTTTTGCAGAGCTGAGAGTAGTTTGAATTATGCTGGTTGTGTATTTGGAAATGGGTCTAAATTTGAAATGAATTACCCGATTCCAAGAACCGCCAGCTGCCCACCAGCAGTGGCTGCGGCAATGCCAGAGGTGGCAGCAGTTGCTAACAAAGGAAAGGAGGCGGCCCTGCTGGAAAAGCTGGGCTCTGCAGCCGGAAGAGAGAGTTTCAAGAAGAGGAAGTCCTATAAGACTAGGGATCTTAAGGTGAATATCTCGTAATACTATCTTTATTACTTCTGATGATTTGCTTACTGTAATTTCTATCATTAAATGCTACTTAATTTCAAATTAAGTGTAAATCAAAACTTTTGGGACATAATCAGGTCGTTGCAGAAGAACAAAGCAGAGAGAAAAAGGCCAAGGGATATATAGAAGAAGAGGATTCTAAGATCACAGAGCAAAATAGCAACAGTAAGAGCACCACCACCACGACTAGTAACAACAACAACAAAGAAACTTCTGCTGATAATTCGAAGGGAAATTCAAAGCTCTCTGAGATTCCAAAGCTCGACTACATTCACGTTCGAGCACGACGTGGGCAAGCCACTGACAGCCACAGCTTGGCAGAAAGAGTATGTTCAACTTCAACTGATATGTTTTAAGAGTATTTTCTATTTACTTATTGTGCGTTCTACACAGTAAATGGTGTTAATTATGCAGGTAAGGAGGGAAAAAATTAGTGAAAGAATGAAGTACCTGCAAGGTCTAGTACCTGGATGCAATAAGATCACTGGGAAAGCTGGAACGCTGGACGAAATCATCAACTACGTCCAATCTCTTCAAAGACAAGTAGAGGTACAACTATCAATGATCATATTTCATCACATATTCATGTATCAGCACAAATATTGAAATTAGTGTTCTATCTTCGTGACAGTTCCTCTCCATGAAACTCGCTGCAATCAATCAAAGCCTTGAATTTGACATAGAAAACTTCATAGCTAAAGAGGTAAAGACAATTTTCAGTATTGTGCTAGCATCTTATATCTAAAACAGATAGAATTATTAAAAGTGATTTCTGTTTTGAAGTGATTCTTACATTTAATGCCTACAGATGTTTCCAGCTAGGATATCTAGCATTCCCACAGTTGGGATGTCGTCCGACTTCATTAATCCTTCTCACCTTCAGTTCAACTCATTACCGCAAGGAGTTTCATGTTATGGTCTAGAAATGGGTGTAAATCTTCCTGATGTAATACTTCGGAGAACCATCAGTGCTCCGGTATCAATGCCAGAGATATTCCTTGAATCTTCCAATTTAAATGCAAGTATTTCTTCATTTTCATCTTCAGGTAATTACACTTTATATCCTCAATGACCAATAATTCTTACAAACAATTCAAAATACAGCAAATTCAGCATTCAAGCTGGGATCCCGAGTTACAAAATCTCTATGGCATGGAGTTTCATCAAGGAAAATCAACTTCATTCAATACTCAGCCATTTACAGGTGAACAAACACGTCTTGTCAAATGCTAGTACCTGCTTTTGATAACTTAGGAATGTTACTAATACAAAATGATGAGAGACCATTGAACCCCACAAAAAGTTAATGATATCGCTTGGGAGTAATATGGTCCTCTTTAATTTATTTTGAGGAAGTTGCTTCTTAGGAATCTTTCTTTATCTGTCTTCCACTTAAAATGAACTAATGATTAAGCCATCTCACTTTTAAATGTCAATAATTCCTAAATCATTAATACAAAAGATATACAAGTTCACACTAGCATTTGCTCAGACAGGAAACGGAGAAATTAGTTAACATAAAACACATTGTGTCCTGGTATTCACTTCATAACCAAGTCATCTCAAATAGGTCTAACTTAGTTCAGGTCCTAAATTCATGCTTCAGTCATAAATTTCTTAGACACAACACTGTACAATAATTTATTGAAGTTTGAAACTAAAAGGGCCTTATTATTGCAGGTTTCACAGAAGCAGGGGATGTGAAACTCTAGTCGAATCTATTTTCCTATTCCTTTTCCTATTTCCAACTACATATCGTATATACAGTTGAAGTATAGAAATATTTGCAATGATAATATTATAAGCTTTTAACCATAAATTTTTTCTTTTGTGTACGTGGTAACTGTAAAAGCATCACAAGATGAAACTGCATAAAAAAGTATGAATGGCTAAAAGGTAGAAATTTCAGGCAGGTTGCAAAAATAAACCGAGATAAAACATCAAGGAAATGAAACATATTGTAAATCCTCTTTCGATATGCATTCCGGTTTAAACAGATAATAAATACACCATAGGGCTAAGTTCAACTTGTATATAGGCTGTAGATACGAACAGATAACTCGATACTAAAACATTGATTAATAATTTAATCGTCCCTTGCTTCTAAAGGGAGCCATACGGGCTTTATAATCAATAAAGCTGCAGAAAGTGGCCTATGCTTTTCAAGTTAATTTCACGTAATGAGACCTCACAGAGTCTCTCTTTCAATCCATATTTAAAAGGCCAAAGGTGGACCAAGCCTCGTACAAAAGCCTGATCTCCTTGATTCTATTTGACGCAGTGGCTGGTGTGGAAGAATTTGCAATTTGTAATACTGTTCCCACTCACCTATATGAATTTTTTTTCTTTATTAATACTTCAAAATTCTCCACTTTTCGCATATTACAGTTCCGACAAATAAAGCTAAAACTTAAAAGATTCTAAAAGCTGTGTGGATGCAGCATAATGGTCAAGCAGATATTTTCCAAAAAGCAATACATATCAGATCACATACTTAATCCTCCACACCAGCTCTATTGTTTCTTCTTAGTTGCACCTTAGTCAATTCCAAACTTTCTATCTACTTTCAGCCAGAATAAATTCTGGGAATTGTTAGTAATTAATAAATGGCATGTCCTACCCAAAATAGATGGAGTTAGAAGTGGTCCGGGGAAGCTGATCAGAAACAATAGGGACTAAAATGAGAAAATTGAAAGTTAAGGGTTGAAATTAAAGGTTTCTTAGAACTTAGGACTGTAGATACAATCAACCAAAAAATGATATTCCATAGAGCCTCACATTCAGATCCAACGCATATTTGCGATCAATCTTTTGTTAAATGTTATGTCAAAGATAAAGATTTGATTCCCTAGGAAGTTGTGAACTGAAGAAGTAAAGAGTTAAGTCGATCGGATGAAGCTTTAGTATGCCTGATATCTGACCCCGAAGCTAATTTTATGCCAAGTCCACTGTCAAATAATTAACATATACAAGTGTTGTCAATACTGTACAAATCGCTGGGTCTATGATGCATGCGCCAAATGAAAAATATGTCTACATAAATGCAGGGTTGTATCCCTTGTTCCCGAAGCAAAATATTACCAGATTTCTCAATGCTATGGAAGACGTAGTTTCCTTTAGAATAACAGTACAAAAGGCTGACGCTGGAAATTATGATGATTTTCTCCAAATGAAAGTGGGTGAACTGACTCTTTATTACTAATTACCAAAAAGGAGAAAAGTTGAAGTGTGTGTGGAATGCCCAAAATACTTTCATGGTAGGTTAGTAGGTATACAATAACTATCAACATAGATAGACTGCTGATGCCATTTCTTACAGTGTGAAAGGCCTATATCTAATGTTGACATCTTTGGCAGATTATTCTCCCTCAAAGTGAATAGGTGAATTAACTAGGTGAATCAGTTGAATCAATAAACCCGATCCGCATAAATGGAAAACCCGTATTACATCACTGAGTAGACAATCTACTAATACTATACAATAACATTCATTTGAAGGAAACCTGCCTCTCTGAACAGCTACAACTAAGAGTTGCATGCTGACATGTTCATCTTTTTGCTTGTTCCACTACAACACAGATTCTTCCCGGTCTCTGTCATTAAATAAAATGGACACTTTTGTCAAAAGTGTGTCTTGGAAACCAAGAAGCGAATTCCAGTTATAGCATTGAGAATGTACCTTTTCCAGGAACAACATTTGTGCAGCTTAACAATTGTGGAAGCAATACTCGTACTTCCCTGCTGACGTTAAAACATACAAAAATGTCAGTTGAGTGTAGATTCGAATTGGAGCATGCGTGATCATATATTTGTGCGACCTTTGGAAGCTTCAGCCCCTGTTGCCCACAACACCAGCAACTGGCTTCAATCTTTTTGCTTCATTGCATCTACTTGCAAAATCCTAGCCATTGTCCTGACCTATGCTGACGACAATAATGAAACAACGATAGACCTTAAAGCTGGAAAAGCTAATCAATAGAATCTACACTTCGGTTTTATCCCTTTTAGCCCCTGTTTGACGATGATTATTTGAAAAATCTTTTTTCTACGAACCGATTTTCAACCACACATTCACACAATAAAATATTATACTCGTCAACCCAAATTTTTTTCTACTTTTTAACCACACATTTTCCTAAAAATCACTGTTCAAAAAATTATTTTCCCAAATAATGGCCATCAAATTGGGGCTTATTTTATCAAAGTAATATCATGTACAACAAAGATCGTACAGTTACACTGTAGATTGATTTTAATTTCAAATAAATATTCAAGCTTAACAATATTGGACGAAAGTATTGGTTTAACATTTCATAAAGAAGATGAAATGTGCCAAAATCATAATAAATTTTGATCACAAGAAATGCAAAAAATCAAACAATAACCATAGCAGCCTCACCGCAAGCTCCTCCATAAGGCCTGGAGTCATCACGTACACAATATCATTCTCGAAACCTGAACCGTATTAGTAACTCATAAAAACAATATACTGTAAAAAATTACATTACAAGCACATCAAATGTGGAAGAATTGAATCGAGTGCACCTTTAGTATCTCGATTTCTGATTAATTTGCTAGAAGAGAAAATGTTTATATTCTTATTATTGTTGCGCTGTGAATCTCGTGCGCGCGATAGAATTGGATTTTACTGCCGCCTCTAAATGAATTATTACCTCTTTCTCACATTTAACCACATACAGAATTCTAGATATCAAAACGAGATGACCATTTTCACCTTATCACTTAAAAAAGGCCCTAATTTTCATTTATTTATCAATTAATCCACTAGATTACTGGTATTGAACCACTCCACTGTACCTTTCTTCCACATCCTCCTTTGCCATATGTGAAAAACCAAATTAGGTTGGAATGTTTGGAAATATATTTTTTCTCTTTGCATGTATTTGGAAAAATATTATTTCACTTTTTTATTAAAAAAATATTGAGAAAATATTTTTTCCTTTATTTCACGTAATTTATTTTTTGTTTTGTTTTCATCTTGGGTTTGGACATCTTCCCTATAAATAGTAGACTCTTCATTCAGTTTTAGTGATCAGAGAAACATATATTGCTGAATTCTTGTATTTTTCTCTCCATTGTTATTAATAAATATCGTTTCCTCTACAATTTTCTTCCTTCTTTTTTACTTTAATCTTGCCATTTTTCTTACGATCTTTATTATTTCAAATTTGTCATTAATCTCAATTCCTGCGTTCGAGACGATTTTTCCCAACAAGTGGTATCAAAGCCAAGTTGCGGGTTCTTTGTGATTTGATTGAAATTTTTAAGAGATGGCTTCATTGAAATATGATATTCCGCTACTGGATTGTAATACAAGGTTTTCGTTATGGCAAGTAAAGATGAGGGTGTGTTGGCGCAGATGGATTTGGACAATACTCTGCTGGGTTTTGATAAAATGTCAGCAAACTGGACAACGGAGAAACAACAGAAAGACAGGAAGGCTTTATCGCAGATTCATCTTCATCTCTCCAATAATATTATGCAGGATGTCTTGAAGGAGAAAACGGCGGCTGCTTTGTGGTTGAAACTGGAGCAGTTATGCACGACCAAAAGTCTCACGAGCAAACTGCATCTAAAGTAAAGGTTGTATTTCCATCGCATGGCAGAAGGAGGATCACTGGAAGACCACTTGGCTGTATTCAAGGAAATTGTTACAGATCTAGAAACGTTGGAGGTAAAAGATGATGAGGAGGATCTGGCCTTGATCCTGTTATATTCTCTACCCTCTTCTTATTCGTCGTTTCGGGACACGATCTTGTACAGTTGTGACACGTTGACAATTGAAGATGCTTACGATGCTTTATTCTCAAAGGAGAAGATGAAGCATTTGGTTGGACCTACTACATCAAGGGATGGGGACGCTCTGGTTTCTAGTGGTGATCGACTGAGGGGTAGATCGAAAGGGAACTTCAGCAATATGTATTGCTTCTACTGCAAGAAGAAAGGGCATGTTAGAGGGATTGCGACAAGTTGCAGGCTAAAGGTAATTTAATTGCAAATAATAGGGGGCAATCTTCTAATTCGGATGATGCTAACCTTATCGAGTATTTATCTGATGGCGGTGATGTGATGGTGACCGTGGTATCTAACATGGAGTCCAAGCCTGACAATGAGTGGATTCTTGATTCGGCATATTCACACCATATGTGTCCCAATCGAGACTTGTTTCAAACATACGAGGTGGTGAAGTAAGGTGGAGTTGTCTTGGGAAACAACCAGTCTTGCCAGCTTGCTGGGATCGTCTAGTCAGATTGAGGTTGCAGGATGGGACAATCAGACCACTCGATCAGGTTCATCATGTTCTAGACTTGAAAAGGAATCTCATCTCACTAAGTACCATGGATGCAAAGGGGTATAAATTCTCTGGTGGAGGTGGAGCATTGAAGGTCCGAAAGGATGCTCGGGTTGTGCTGGAGGGACAAATGAAGTCTCATTTGTACATCTTGCAGGGGAGCGCAGAACCAGTTAAGAGACATTTAGACAAGTTCAATACCGTGGTGAAAATTCAATTTGGTACAGTACCTCTTGTGACAGACTCTGGGTTAGTTCAGAACATTGCTCAGGGGAGCGTTGGTGATTTCGCTTTGCCACCAATTACAGCGGATTCACTGTGTTCACATACTAGTGTTGGACTCATAAAGCGTAGGTACAGTGTTGGAGATGTCTGCAATGCATTTGGGATCGTTGAAGG